GTCAGTCTGAAATATATTAAACCGTATCAACCTGTCTCTTATACACATCTAGATGTGTATAAGAGACAGCACACACACATTATGGACAGACATGCTGGAAAGAAGGAAGACAAAGTGACCAACTGAATGACAGATATACTGAAATACATTTAGACCATCAAATGACATGCAGACAAAAACACATGCAGATGTGCACATTAAATATACAATGATAAATAATATTTATATTATCCTGGTATCATGTCCTGTTACTTCTCTCATTATGAGTTGGCTTGTTTGCTTTATTTTCCCTAAAAATTTCTTCCTTCACATTATGTTTCCGTTGTCTTACCTCAGAGTTCCTGTTAGCACACAAAATATAATTTAATTTAGGTTTCGGTTCTGTTGGTTTCGTGGCCAAAAAATTGATATTCATCATCATTAATGACATTAAAAACATCATCATTAATAGCATAGTAATCAGCCAAATGATCATCATTAGCATCACGTCTTCATTATCTTCATCATTATCCAGACTTCTTAAGCTAGTAAAAAAAATGCATTTCAGTAACCAAGTATTCAAAATCCCCCCTGCCCACGTTGGTACCACCACTGCTTGAGAACTATTTATTAATGGGTCTGGGCCATGATAAATTTCCATATAGTATATTTGTCTTTTTCCGTACATCTGTAATTAGGAAAAATTTCTGTAGCAACTACGGAATTCAGTAGTACTTAAGAAGTCTGCATTATCATCATAATTATAATCATCGTCATCATCATCATGGAAATTCTTGTCGACTTGTATAGTGCATATTACCATGTTTTTTATGTGCTTTTAACTAGTGTTAAATAGAAGTTAAATAAACCAAACAAAAATAAAATGAAGAAGAGGCGAGACAAAAAAAAAAAAAAAAAAAAAACAAAGACAATCAACAGAAAAAGAGAAAAATAATTATATTAATGAGAAAAAATGATTTGTAAGTCTGGTCTTAAATATGGAAATGTATGTGGCTCATGATTAGGCCTAAAAAAATAAATTGTTTGTTTGCCCATCTTTCTTTTTAAATGATAAAAAGGGGCAATTGGAGGAAAAAAGTTGTTTTTTTTTGTTTTTGTTTTTTTTTCCAAGATTACTCATCAGATGGAATATAAAGAAACCCACATTTAACATTTTGCAATGAATGTAAGGGCAATATTTTACATCAGACAAGAAATTTTTAGAGCATCTGGCAAAAAATAAAGATCAATTCACTCACCTTTTTTTTTTTAATTTAAAGAAAAAATCCCCCTTTTTTCAGTGAGTTAGGGGCGGGTGGGGAGGGCAAACAAACATATTTTTTTTAAGCCCTATGAACATCATCGTCATCATTACAACTTTTTCCTGCATTCATTCCTTTGAGCCTGAAAACATCCTGAGCCTCTAGTACTATAAATGCCTCTGCTGCAAATCATTTCCTGATTATTAACATCTCTATACCTTGACTTGCATTTAGAATGTACTGTATGCGTGCTGTGAGGTCATGAGAATGCCAGAGGAAATTTAAACTTCTGTCACGAAAAGGTCACCATGAAGTTGCTGTATAGTTTTTGTAAACAATAGACTACACATTTTGCTGATTCATTTACTCCAAGGTTTACAGTCAGTCTGAAATATATTAAACCGTATCAACTTTCCATTCCTCTGAAGTGAATGTATTTACTGTCTAGCAGATAGTTCAGATTACTTTCTATTCTCTCCTTTCACCTGGTTTTATCATCAAATGATC